CCAAAGAAACAAGACAGCAAAGACAAAAGCAACAAGAAAAAGCACCCCCAGTCCGAATGGCCGGAGGGCTCCCCAGCGGCTGGCAGTCCAACATGTTTTTTTTTATTTGCTTATATATATATATATATATATGTACGTATAGATGTGCTGTCATATTTCATGCCTTAAAGCGATCCTCCTGCGAAAGGCTGCTCCACACCTTCCTCAATCAGCCTGGTCCCGCCATCTTGGGTGTCGTCTTGCAGCAGCGCCAAAAGAACCGATGGATCCATCCACCACGGCACGAGCAGGCGGCCACCATCTCGCACGTCACACTCCGTCCCGACAACGATGAGTAGTCCCGTGTCTTCTGCTGTCGCTGTGCGTGTCCTGCCTGCTTTCTTTTCAAGAATTCCACGCACCCCGGCAGCTGCGCAGAATACTTTGACAAATGACAGATATTGCGGGAGTGGGAGTGTAGGGTCTCTCATAACGTAACCAACTCCGGCCTCGCCCGCGATTCGGTGACACTCCCTGTTAAGCGAAGACAGCTCCACAACGTCCTCTAGCCACTCCCGGAACGCGGGGCCACTTTCCAACTCCTTATGGGTGATGACGGCGTCATCTGTCCCATCCTCAGCTTCGCCAATCCATCCTCCAACTAACTCTTCCTTGAAAGAATTTTCTTCGACCTGCATAGCGTGCGGGTGCGGCTTATGCGGCAGGCAGTTGTAATACACATTAATGGGATTCATCGCAGGAGCGTGCTGCGCCAAATAGGCGCGGTTCTCATGCAACATCTGCCAGTAGTTTAACTCCATTGCAGTACTCATAGAAAAAATGCGCGGGAAGCAGCGGATTGGCCCTCGATAGCAATATCCAGCGGCTTCGCTGGTTTCCTCCCCGTTGTGCCCCTCGCACGACGCCTCCTTGACAGTAACACCAGGGTCGTGTAAATTCGCCCTCGCTTCTGCCCCCGCGCACATTCCAGCCACTCCCCCTCCTTCCTCCTCCTTTTCCCTCGCCTTCAAGGAAGGTGCTTCCTCACCGCACGGTTGCTTTTGCACCGGGATAAATTCCTCATTCACCACCTTCTCCCTCACACCGAGCAGCCGCGGCAGCAACGAATTGGCAAATTCGGCCTGCTCTTGGACGCTTTCCATGGCAGCTATCAGGCGCGTCAGAAACTCCCCAATGTCTTTAGACAGCTTAACGGCGACGGAGAAGCGTATCACTTCAGCCGTGCAGCATGACATGTGACGAGCGACCACAATGTCGTGATTCACGGCATCCTTTTTCCCACACTTCCTCCAGAAGGCTCCGTCTTCGTCCCCAACAGCCACTTCCTCCGTGCTCTCCACCAACGGGGTCTCGCCGTTCCAAGTCAAGGCGATGTTTCCCTCGATGTAAGGCGCCGTCAGGCGCGCCAAGCGCCGGCAACGACGGATGCCGTCCGCAATCGGTTTCTCACCAGCTTCTTCTCCTCCTCCGTCCCCGCATGCAGCTTCCTCATAGTCCTGCATGGGATCGTCGCAGTGGTAGCATAACCCGCAGACAAGTTTTTGAAGCGTGAGCGAAACCTTCTCAGAGACTTCCTTTGAAAGGTGCAGGTGATGCATGACTGTAAGTGCGTGCTCGTGCAGATCCAGCATGTTTGAAAGCAAAGAGGTGGTGTCCACCATCGCCAGCTCCAGCTGCAGTCTCTCGTAGCTCGCCGCCTCCCACTTCCCAATTTTCTCCGTGATGTCGCCTATGGAGTCTGAGGGGTAGATGGTGCACTTCAGTTCCTCACATATCTTTATTTCCTTTTCCGAGACGGCGCCGCATGTGCTCTTCACCTCCTCGTGGGCGTCTGGGGGCGCCTGGCTGCCCTCGAGGCGCCGCGCCGCACGCGCGTCCGCGGTCAGCGTCGGTGCCAGATTAAACAGGAGCGCCCCCACAAGCACAAGCGGCTTCATTGCCATTTCCTCGATGCGCTGCTGCCGCGGTCGGCTGCCCGTCGCAACCCCGGAGTTCGCCTGGTTGTACGTGTACCGCACGTGCCGCTTGCGTCCCTTCACCACGCGATTGACGATGATGGGGAGGTGCCTCGAAAAGCGCAGGACGCAGCGCGACATGGCCTCTACGTAGCGAGCGTTGAAGAATGCCACCGCCTCGAAGAGGACACACGATTTTCCACACAGCACCTCCGGAAGCTCGTCGCAGAACTGCTTCACGCGCCGCATGGCGAGCGCCTCCGTCTGGCAAACCGACGAGACATACTCCAACGAGTGCGAGGAAAACGTGTCCAGTCGCTCCGCCGCATGACGCGCCTCCGCCTCCGCCTCCGCCCCGCCGCCGCGTGTGGCGTCTCGGCAGCTGTGGTACGCCGCGATGGCGTGACGCAGCGCATCCAGCACACCTTGACCGTCGTCCACGGAGACGTTCCTCACGGCGGCCCCCGCGTGCAGCCCCATTTCAAGCGACTTCAGCGCCACACGGAAGGCCTCGGAGAGACGCCGGAACTTTTCAGTCGCGTCGGGATCATCGGGGTGCAGGTCGGGGTGGCAGCGCAGCGTCTGCGCAATGTACGCCTTCTTCACACGGGACTGGGAGATGTCCAAGACGGAGGCGGAGGTCAGGCCCAGCGTCGTGAGCGCGACGCGCGGGGTCATGGCGCGAGTCCATGTGCTGCGCGACAGCATTCCGCTGCTTGGCTTCTCGCTCTTGTCTATCGTCTTTTGCTTGCTCCCCACTCCACGCACACACACACACACACATGTGCCTGCCCTCGTCAAGCAACCGTTGATAGAAGAAGAAGAAGAAGAAAAAGGAAGGTATACATATATACAGAGAGAGAGAGAGAGAGAGAGAGGACGTCATCACCAACCCACGCACACACATAAATAACAGGGAGATAACAGGGAGATGTGGCGCGTGCGCTGTCGGCTTGCATTCGTACTCATTGCGCGACGGCCACAGAAGCAAATGGCAGAGGAGAAACAGATGCCTTCTTCACCATTCCCTCAATTTTCTTCCTCCTCTTCTGCCTCTTCGTCCTCGCCGCCTGGGACGGCTGAGTGAAAAAAAACTCTGCTCGATACAAATGCCTCCTTCAGGGCGGTGTGCTCACGGATGGCGTAGTCCACCATGGTGGCGGTGAGATGCATGTTGTTGATTGCCTCATCCTCGTGGGCGGCCTCGATTCCCTGCGACCTGCCTCGCCTCCTCGCCTCCTGGCTGCGTTCCGCAATCCCCTCCTGCATTTCCCGGAGACGGGCTGCGTAGTGCTTCCCCACGCTCTCAAACCAGTGCAGCGACTCAAACAACTCCGAGAGGCCAAACAGTTTCAGAAGGAAGGCGCAGCCAAGCGCAAGGCCGTCGTCGGTGAAGACGCCATCCTTGTTCTTCTTCACCAGCTGCTCCTTCTCACGTATCATGAGCTCCACGTGCAGGACGCAGATGGACGGGACAATCATGTGGAAGTTCCGCAGGTGGTGGTACTTCTCTGCATCCCTCAACCGCTTCGTCACCGCCTCGAGGAGCATACGGAAATACTCGGAGCCGTCCGACAGCTTCCGCCGCATGTTGTGAACGACTTTGTCAACGACGCGAACCGCCTCCACGGTGCAGGGCGGCGCCGCCGCGGACACGTCTTCCGCAGCCTCTGCCTCTGCCTCTGCCTCTGCCTCGTCGTCGCTGCCGATGGCCGCGGGGTCGATGACGCGTTCCAGACGCACATCGCCGTTAATGAAGGGGATGAACGCGGCGGCGTCCGCGATGGCGCGCAGCCCGCCGCTGCGCATCATCCGCATGTACCCAAGGGCGTTGCCAATCTCCGAGACAAGGTGGCGAAACTTCTCCAGGAACGGTTGTCCATCCTCGGCGACGCCCAACTTGCGCACCTCGCGAATGAACTTTTCCGCCCGTGAAAGCGGGTACGCCCCGTTAAGCTCCTCCTTATGCGCGGCAAAGAACTTTGCGTCCTTGATCAGCCGCGACTTGACGTGCTCGTCGTACAGGAACTGTGAAAGAATCGCAAGCTTCTTCAGCAGACACTTGTAGACGTAGTTGACGGTGGTGTTCATGATACCGGTGCCGTGGGTTCGAATCGAGTTGGCTATATGGCGAATATGCAGCGTGTGAAGGTGCTTCGACTCCGTCGTCGAGGGCCGCTGCACGAAGAGTTGCTCATTCATGTTGTACGTGTAGTTGGCGACGAAGACCTGGATATTTTCCGTGATGACGAGGACGTCTAAGCCCTGATCGACGATGCTGCCGGGCAGGTAGCCGTCGCATAGGCGCAGCCCGTAGCGCACCAGCGCCAGATTTCGCATCTCCTCGTACGTCTTCCAGTCATTTGCCATGAGTGCGTTGAGGTTGTAAAACTGCGCATCCAGGCAGTGCTCCACCTCGGTGGCGAGGTGGAGCCAGTCGTGGAAGAGGCGCAGCGGCGGCAGCCGCGTGAAGCGCCCCACGTCGCACGCCGCCCCCGCCTCAACCCTGCGGAATGGCTGCCCCAAAACAACAGAGTGCGTGTAGAGCCGGAGGTCGTTCTCAATGTCGATACAAAGCGGGTCAATGAGACGGCTCCGAATGCAGCCCCTGACGTAGGCGACGTACGCGTCGAGCAGCGGGCCGGCGTCCTCCACGTGCCTCGAGGCGAGGATGGAGGGGCGGCAGTCATGCATGGCCATGAGCAGATACGGCAGGTAGCCTGACCGCAGCGGTCGCTGATACATCCGCTCAAAGAAGATGGGGTAAAACGTCTCCCGGTGCCAGTAGAGGAAATCGCAGTCCGTCGCGGCATGCAAGGCGCCCTGCAGCGAGGTCACCCGCTGGAGTTGCGCAAAGGCGATTAAAATTTCCTCGCAGTGTTTTTGGGTGACGATAGCCGAGGCGCCCCTCTCCACCTGACGCCGGTTAAACGCGGTGCTAAGAACGAGGTCCAGGCAGACCAGGTTTTCCGCCGTCTGCGGCCTGTGCAGGAGGACGATGGCTTGCCGAATCGCGCTGTGCTGATCCATCACCTCATCTGAGCTCGTCTGAACAAAGTCGCCCAGCCGCAGATACAGCTCGTAGAGGTGCCGCTCCATCACATACGCAATGGAGCGCACCAGAAGATTATACGCGGACGCCACCACCCCTGTCTTTGCGTGGAAGGCGGCCCGAATCATCATGAGCAGCTCAACCCCGTGGGAGAGGCCGTCCACCTGCTGAAGGGAGATGGCAACATCCGCACAGTTGTGTAGCGCGATGTGGTTAATGAGTAGTCGCTGAATGTGCTGCGCCAGCAGTATCCCCCGCTGCAGCATCAGGGTCGTGCTATGGAGGAATGCCTTGTGGTGCGCGGGATCCACAGGGAGGGTCGTCTCCATCTCGGCTATCCACGCGCTCACCAAGGTGGTGAGGCGATTCAACTGAGGAAGTAGCTCGGCACCGCTTTGCTCACATGCCTTTTTGATGGCAGCGATTCCTTCCCTCGATGGATCCTGCAGGTACCGGTTTAACTCACCCGGCACACGACGCGACAGCCAGAGGACAGGGCGAAACAGATGGACCCCGTGCAGGTATATAACCGGCATGCGATGGTGCAGTTGGAAGACCCGCCTGCAGAGGCCGCGCCGCGTCGTCTCACTGGTCAGCCCCGGGAAGAGGTGGAGGTGCAGGTAGTACAATCCAAGGACGCCGAGGTATTGCCGTCGCGCGTGACCCTCGCGTGGGGTCCCCACGTTTTCCTCCACGGCGCCCAAAAGGTGGTCAAGGAGGTCCGTAAACTCCAAGCACAGTCGCCTGTTGGCGGTCACAGACACCTGCGCCTCTGGCACGTCGTACGCCTGCATCACCAGGCGTTGCAGTACCCCGTCGTCGAGGAGGTCCTGGTCGATCTTCTCCAACAGCCGGCCGAAGAGCCCCATCGTCATGTCATCGTAGTCAAACTTGTCACGGTTTTTGGCGGCCTGCGCGAGCAGCTTGCGGTAGACGGAGAGGCCGCGACGCAGGGTGTCGTGGGTCTGCAGCACCTCCTCCACGCTCACGAGGGCGGCAAAAAGATCCGCGAGGGAGCGCCAAACGCGCAGGAAGCGCACCTGCGTGAAGGGGCGGTAATTGTCGTGCTCGCGCAACGGCGAGTAGAGGGCGGCTAACTGCCGCACCGTCTGCAGCACCACCCTCCGCACGCGCCGCACCCAGGCCCAGAGTTCCTGCAGCAGCCCCAACATGCGACCGGCGCCCTGCTGCGCCTCCTCGTCGGGAATGCCCTCGTCGCGGCAACTGTCGTCGCCAAACATCGCCAGGGGCGGGATAAACACGGCGAACGCCTCCTCGGCGAGGGAGTCCATCTCCAGGACGAGGCTGGCAAAGCAAAGCGTGATGCGGTAGAAGAGACGGTTGTGTAGCTGGGTGCGACCAAGCGTGTCGGCAATGGAAGTGGCGCCTTCGCGCTGCCGCGACGCCGGCGTGCCCAGCTGCAGCGCGACGGTGTCGCTGTGCGGGTCCCACAGCTCCGGATCCCAGCGGGAGTCGAAGGTCTGCTCCACCTCCATAAGCATCTTCTCATGCGCGGCAACGAAGCCGTGCAGCTTGTCCTGAAACGCATCCCGCTCATCCCTTCTGAGGTCCACGCCGAAGTCGAGGGGGGCGCGCATGACCGCGTCGACGGGCGGTGCCGGCCGCGTGTCCACAATGACGCTACCACCGACAGAAAGACGCCGTGCCCAAAGAGAGAAAAAAAAAAGAAAAAAAAGAGAGAAATAGACCTCCTGCTTCCACCGCAGCGTAGAGTTCCCTTCCGCAGGCGGCGACACCAGCAGCGCCGGGCTCAAGGGCGCTGCCCCCGTTTTCACCCACAGGAAAAGAAAAGAAAAGAAGGTAAATACGTGTCGTGATTACAGTTACAGTACTCGTCGCCTCCCACTCTTCCACTCTCTCACAGTTCAGTTCTTGCCCCACTCAAGCCGCAGAGCCCTTTAATAACAAGGGGGAAGTCAAGGAGGAAACGGATACGTGGAAGACGAGGAATGACCTCTTTGCGTTCATGCCCCAACGCCCCCCCCCCTCTCCAATTGGCTCTCAAACGCTTCCGCTTCCACCGCCTCCGCCATTGACAACAGCAGCAGCAGCCGTAGCGGAAGGGGCGCGCCACAACGTCGCTCGAAATGCTTCGTGGCGACAACGCAAAGGTTGGCGGGGAGGGCAAAGACCTTGGGGGAACCTTTACTCACTAGTCCTTTTTTTCCCCCTTCCGCCCTGTACGAAGCATAAAACACACAACACCGAAGATGAAAGGTGTGGCAAACTCCACCGCGTTCCTCCTCGTTTCCTGCAGGGGAATTTAAGTGCAACCGGAGGGCCGGTCTTCCGCCTTGCGCCGCGGGCTGGCTACGCCACGGTGTCCGCGTTGGCCTCTGCCACCCGTCGACGATGCGTTGGAAGCGACTCGTGCACCTTGTAGCTTTGCGTGGTGACGACTTCCTGGCAAATGCCGCAGGTGGAGTTCACAATGTCAAAGCCACCCTCGAAAAACGTGTTCCCCGCCGCCGCCACTTTTTGCCGCTGCTCCTCTGAGACCACCGTCACAGGCTCAATGAAGGAGGGCATGCGCTGCACCAGCTTGCCAAATTGCGTGTAGGTTGCTCCCGGCGCGGGGGGCGCCTCCGCGCTGTTCTGGTGCCCCTCACTCTGCAGGTGGTTCGCCACGCTAACAGGGTGGGGAGCGAGGAAGAGGCGGCAGCGGCGGCAGAACAGCATCGCGCCGGGGTTTTGACTGATAAGGTGCTGCGGCAGCACAGGGGTCGCCGCACCGTTTTTGCGACTCGGAGGCGGACGAACCGCCACCCTTGTCGCATCCTCAAGCTCCGCCTCGGCCGCTTCGCCATTTTCCCGCACACTCTCCTCCAGCAACAGCTGCGGGAGCGGGGGTTTGGCGACGGCAGCCGCCACGCCGTCGTTGGCCGCCAGCTGCGCTTCCTGCCCGCAGAGAGGCGGGGGACACGAAGGCTGCAGCTGGGGCGGCAGCGACGGCAGTGGCGGCGGGAGACTTGGGACTAGTGCGCTGTCCACACGCAGCGGTGGAAGCGGCGGACGCGAGTACTCCCCACTCCCTCCTGCACCGCCGCCACCTCTCGTTCCACGCGGCGGGGTGAAGTCGCGCCTGCTGTAGGGTCGCTCCGTCTCATACGTCTTTCTATTCTCCGAGCCTCGGGAGGATCCACGATCG